CCCTAAACCCTAAAGCCATGAGCCCTGAACCCGAAGATCTTCCCCGGCTTCTGCGAGGACTTGCGTCGGCCGCCCCCACGAGAGGAGGAGCGCTTCTATTGGGCTTTTCCTAAGGTTTCGCATGTAGGGTTTAGGGTTAATATGGGAGTTTCCGAAAATTAGGAGTACCTTGTTTTGGGGTCCTTATAATAAGGATCCTACTATTTAGGGTACTATATTACGGTCCCCTATTTTCGGAAACACCCATCTAGGGGCGTTAATGATTAGAATAGGGTTGGGAGTATATGATACTATAATTATACCAGGGAGGCCCTTTTATCTATTCTAATTATTAAGGCCCCCTACATTAGGGTTTGGAGTATATGGTACTATAATTATACTAGGGAGCCCCTTTTATTTATTCTAACTATTAAGGCCCCCTACATTAGGGTTTGTGGGTGCCTTCGCACGCGGGATGTGGGGCTTGCCACAAATGACAGCCATCCACGTGGGCTGTTCTCTAAAATAGGGTCCCTTTTAGGGTCCTTACTTAATACGGCACCCATTCTTTAGGGTACCCCAAAAGTGACCATAATTTGACAACTACCCATGTGGAATCCTGAACCTTGGAATCTCACTGGCTGCCCAGTTCCTGGTTTCAGGGCCGGTGCCTCGAACATTTGTGTCATGATTCCCAGTATAGTGCACACTGCCCCAAAGCTCTATGTATGCCAGTACATGCCCCTAAACCCTAAACCCTAAATCCAAAGCTCTATGTATGCCAGTACATGCCCCTAAACCCTAAACCTTAAACCCAAAGCTCTATGTATGCCAGTACATGCAGCCAAATATCCCCAGAGCCGGTTGGTTGTTAATTCTAAACGTTACGCCTGACACACAGAAGCCCCCAAAGCCAGGATCAAATGAAAAGCCGTTCAGGGAACTGTAGGGTTGAACTCGGTGTCCCGAATTATATTCCCTGAATCCTACGCCCTGAATCCTAAGCCCTCAGTCCTAAGCCCTAAACCCTAAGCCCTAAACCCGAAACCCTACGCCCTAAGCCCCAAGCCCCAAGCCCCAAGCCCTAAGCCCTAAACCCGAAGCCCTAAGCCCTAAACCCTAAGCCTTGAAAGCCGAAAAATCCAAATCCCAGCCTCGCAGTCCTAGGCCCACTATCGGTGGCCAAAGCCTGATGCTTCAGCCTGCAGTAGTAGTAGTAGTAGTAGTAGTAGTAGTAGTTATATTGTAGCATAAAAGTAATGTAGTAATACATAGATATGTATATAGAGAGAGCAATAAGTTCATAGTAAAGTAGAAATATAGTAAGAGCTTAGTAATAGTATAATAACAGTAGCCCGTTATCGTCCTCCAGGCAATCTTACTATAATACTCCCATAAAAACCGATTCTAATCAGTAAGCCCCCCGAGAGTAGATGCCTGCCGAAAGTAGTCTGAGGGAGGGAACCAGATTGATGTCTTTTCCACTGCGGATGAAACTTACAAGCGTAGTAACACGGAGCCCTCAGCGTTAATCTGCTGCTCCGACCGGCGTTCCTGCTTTTTCTCCGTGCTAGTTGCAGCGCTTGATGTAAGAGCATGTCCCATGGCCAGCCCTGAACCCTACACCTAAAAACCTTAACTTAAGCAATAAACGGAATAAGCGGATTTGTTCATCGATATCGAGGCTTGGCATGCCTGCACTATTTTGTTTTCGATTTTTGGGTCCAGGCAAGCGCCGACTGGAGCAAAACCTCGATCCGTTTTATGTAGGGGCCTAAATACGTACCTATATTATTTTGGGGGTTCCTTATTATGATTCTAGTACCATGGGCCCCAGGACCCTATTTTAAACATTAAGGCCCCTATATTACATCATTGCTGGCCAGACGGCCAGCTTGACGAGGAGAGGGGTTTTAGGGTTTAGGGTTTAGGAGTTAGGGTTTTGGGTTTAAGGTTCAGGGTTTTGTGTTTTGGGTTTAGGAGTTCGGGTTTTGGGTTTAAGGTTCGGGGTTTTGTGTCTTGGGTTTAGGAGTTAGGGTTTTGGGTTTAAGGTTCAGGGTTCTGTGTTTTGGGTTTAGGAGTTAGGGTTTTGGGTTTGAGGGGTGAAAAGTGGCTCACCCTCTCCGAGCTGGAGAAGAAGATGTCGGCTGACGAAGGAGACCCTCGGACGCGCCGGGATGTGCTGCGGCGAGTATAGGGGCCTTCATAATCAGAATAGGGTTTTGGGGTAGATTATATTCCAAATAGAATCAGGAACCCCCCAAAAATATAATAATATAGGTAATTTAATTATTCAGGCCCCTATATTGGTCAGTATTGGGTGGATGAGTCGCCTCCAATCTTTCAGCGATGAGCCAGGCAAGCAGCCTACGAAGCCTGTCGTACGCAGCCGCATAGCATCTGGAAAAGCCGAGGCGTTTAGGGTTAACTCTAAACCCTAAACCCTAAACCCTTAAACCCTAAATGCCCTTTGGGGTACAAGGTTTCTAAAGCCAATAGTTGCCCTGAGCCCTAGGCCCTGAATCCTCCGAACCCCTCTTTTACTCCACATGCTTCACCGGACACACCCTAAACCCTAAACCCAAAACCCAAAACCCTAAACCCAAATTCAAAAGCCACGAAGCCCCAACCCGCAAGACTGCTGCCATGTCTCCGTGGTAGCCTTTCTTGTACCAGGACGGCACAGGGGCCGTTCCAGCTCTGGTTACTCCGGCCGTTCGAGCACGAGTTGAGCGGTTTTGTGCGTTCGGGTGTTGAAGCTCAAGTTTAAGAGTTCAGACGGTTAGGGTTTAGGGTTTAGGGTTTAGGGTTTAGGGTTTAGGGTTTAGGGTTTTAGGGGTTAGGGATTATGCATTCGGGTTTTGAAGCTCAAGTTTTTTAGGGTTCAGAGTGTGGGTTCCGGGCATTTAAACGGGGATTGGATTCAGGTGCGTAGTACAGCGCAGGACACAGCCGTTCGGGGACAGGGCATCTTCTGTAGCTTTGATCTCCAAACCATCGGGGCAGATCTCCGGATGCTTCTGCAGATGATTGACATCATTGACGTTTCGAATCCGTGAACCCTACCCTAACCCCCCAGGTACCTACTATATAGGGCCCTAGGGGCTCTAGTACCCTAGATAAGTAGGTACCTGGGGGGTTAGGGCTAACTAAACCCTAAACCCTAGAAAAGAAGGCAGACCGCCTTAGGTCTTGCATGGGAGCTTCGGGTGTGCGTTAGAGCGTTCCGGCTGGGGCTTCTTGATAGGGTTAAGAGTTTTAGGCTTCAGGGGTTTAGTAATTTTTGGGTTTAAGTAAACCTTAAACCCTAAACCCCCCTAAACCCTAAACCAAAACCCTAAACCCAAAAACCCTAAACCCTAAACCCTAAACCCCAAAACCCTAAACCCTAAACCCTCGAAAAGAAGGCAGGGTTTCAGGATTCCGAACATCTCTGAAGATCTGGCCCTTCCTAGTGCGAGAACTGGTTGTATGGCCCAGCACTTGAACAGATTCGGAGACGTTTAGGGTTTAGGGTTTAGGGACCTTGCAAGAGCCCAAACCCTTGAAGCAATACCAACGCCCATAGCAAAGCATCCCAACCCAAGACGCGAAGCTCCAATTGCTAAAGCCTAAATCGATCATTTGAGGCCTCGCTTCTAGTCCAAGACCCGAGGCCCAGAAGGAGCATACTATACGTAGGAATCCAAAAAAGTTACTTATACTGTTTTGGGATTCCTCATAAAATCAGACGACTTTCTTAAAAAAAAATACCCCGAAGCCTTGTTTTAATTATTAAGGCCCCTATATCAAGTGTTGAGCTGAGCCTTGGGCCCTGCGCCAGGTAGCCACCCCAGGCCTGCCAGGGCAACGGGAGAGGGTGAAGGAGTCTTAGACCTGAGTGTTTAGGGTTTAGGGCTTAGGGTTTAGGGTTTAGGGTTTAGGGCTTCAGGGTTTTGGGGTTTATAGTAAACGCCAAAAAAGTTGGAAACCGGATTAGGGACGAATAGTGCTGGGATTCCC